GAAAAAGAGACAGAGAGAAAGAATAAGAGACAACCTCTAAGTAACAAACTGAACACATATAAACTAACTCTCTATTCAAGTTTATAGGCATACAAAATTCGTAATCATAATATATACTTAAAATAACAAAGAAAGACAAAAATATAGATAAAGAAAGAGAAAGTTATTTACATACTCAAAATTGTATACTCGTGTTCGACATTATTACATTATTATAATATTATTCATTTCGACGGCGTCTATTCTATACATAATAAACCTTTTATTATTCATCGCTTATTATAATGTGAAATTCGATAATAGAAAAAGAAAATTTTATGTTCTACTTTATATGTATCAACACACACACGTATATATGTGCAAATGCAATGAACTAATTGAGACAGTAAAACGTATATATTAATCCAAAGAGTGAGACAGACTGCTTTGTAAAAAAAGATGATTATTTACATAAATACTTTTATTGTATATTTAAACGGATAAAGAAAAGAAGCCAAACAAAATCAGCTGTTCAATTGAGGTCAAATAAAAGAAATTTAACACAATCATCTTATAATATTATCTTTTGTTCATAGATCAAATTGATAATAAAAATAAACGAAATCATATATATAGCTTATCTTCAGCAATATTTTACAGATCAAAAAGAAAGTTTTTTTTGCGTATTCTAATTTAATCGTATTTGTTATTTAAAGGTTAAATGAGAGATACCTTTTATCATTGACAAAGAAAGAAAAGGGATAATTATTCATTGTTGTTTGAAACCATAAAAAACTTACAAAAATGATCTTTTCTGTGCAGGCAATTCAAATGAATTTCGATCATCAACAAGATGATTATCGTACTGTCCGGTGGTAAGATCAAGAATTTTCAAAAGTCTTCATTTATCTATTGCTTGAACATTTAGGCAAAGCTTTTCTATTGATAATAGTTACAATAATGAATTATATTCAAGGTGTTATACTATCTAATTGTCCTTTATTACATAGTTCAACAGATAATAATGGTATTCTTATTGTTGATAAATCTGATATGATATATACAAAATTTCCTATAAATTGTCAATGGTTAATTGCAAGTTCTCCTCATCAAGTTATTTCCTTTTTTTTGTATTAAATTTTCGCAAACAAAATATTTTTTTTTGTTGATTATTTAGAAAATTCTTATTGAATTTGATTATGTATTTATTCCAATTTCAACGAAAGAATATTTACATACAGGGTGTCATCGAGGATCGATTAGTTTATGGACAGTAGGATTACAACATGAAAAAATAGAAATTTGCGGTGATCAGCGTAATATACATATTGGTGGAATTGGACAAATATTAATGATTGAACTTCGTATTACTGATTCAACACTTGATGTCAACTTTCGTATGAAATATCAATTAATTGAAATTTTACGTATATGAATATTTTGTCATCTCTTTTTCTTATGCAAAAAATTTTTATTTTAGAGAGACCAACTACATCACCAACAACTACATTGAAATCAACTACTTTGTCTATAGAAAAACATGTAAATATTCAAACTTCTTTATTCTCAGAATGTGGTTTAACATGGACAAATGCAAATCATTATTATCGTGAAATAAAAAGTCGTATTGTTGGTGGTCGACAAGCTATACCCTATAGTCATCCATGGCAAGTTCTTCTAAATAATCGTGGTCATTATTGTGGAGGTTAAATTATTTTTTTTCCGCTAATTATAATACCACCGTAAAATATTTTAGCAAGTATTCTCAATACAAAATGGCTAGTAACTGCTGCACATTGCGTAAACGGGTATTTAATAAAGCAAAAATATCCTTGCATAATATTTAATTTCTTAATAGGACAAATCCTGAAAGTTTATTGGCAGAATTTGGTATGCATGATCGACATCGAAGAGGTCCTTGGCGCGTTGCTAGAACAATTAAACAAATTCTAGTCGTATGCATTCTAATAACAAAAAATGTTTTGAAATAAAGCTTATTTTATTTTATGAATAGTATCCTTCCTACAGTGGAAAATCAACTCGATGGGTGCATGATCTTGCTTTACTTCGATTATCTGAACCGCTTCTATTCAATCCATTTATTCGATCTATTTGTTTACCATCTGTACATGATATTATTAAATATGGTGAACGAACATTAGTTACTGGTTGGGGTTCAACACAAGGTACGGGTGATTATCGATATTTACGTGAAGTTGAAGTACCTATTCAATCAAACGATCAATGCGCATTGAAATCAATTAGTTGGAAAACTAGTCTCTGTGCTGGTTTATGTGAAAATGCAACATGTGCTGCTTGTCAAGTAAAATATCGAGAATTTAATTGAGTGTATAAATAAATACTCTCGAGATTTTTAGGGTGATTCAGGCGGTCCTATGATTATATGGCGTAATGATCGATGGCATTTAGTTGGTTTAATTTCATGGGGTTTTAGTTGTGCTGGTCTTGGTGTATACACAAAAATTTCTTATTATTCCGAATGGATTTTGAAAATAATCTCTAATTGAAATATATATATATATATGATTGTGATAGTTAGCTTGTACTTAATTAAATAAACTTTAAAGTAGATATCAGACATATAATTAATAGAAAATTACGATTAGATTTTATTATAAAAAGTCATTAAAAAAATTATTAGAAAAATTAATTGAAAATGGAAACAAAAAGAAAAACGGAATGATATTATCACGCAGTCGAAATTTCTTCAGATGGCTCCTGACGAAAATTAATATATGGATGTGCATTTAATTGTTGTATTATTATTTCAGCTGGTGGTTCTTTTAATTGAGATCTAGAAAAAATAATTATTATCGAATTTTAATCAAGTATTAGTTTATTATATACCGATAAATATCAAACATATTTGATACAATTAATTCTTCATGATCATCAGCTCGTTTCTTTTTAGCATCATGAATCTAAAATAAATCAATAAGAATTCAAGATAAGACACAAAATACATAAATACTTACATCACCACTTAGTGCAAGACAGATATTTAATCCAATGTTTGTAACAAATAGATACCAAAATATAAAATATAATTCACTCCACCTATTCGAAATTGAAAAAATATAGATATCATATACGGGATTAATATTTACTTTGTATTTGTTGCATCTCGAAAAGCATTAACGAAAACAAACCATTGATTTACAATCATTATATTATAAAGTGTAACAATCGAAGACTAGAATCTCGAAAATAGTCATATTCAATCTGATCCATTTTATACTTACAAAGAAATCATCAAAACCATTTGGCCAATATTCAAGTTGTTCGAATGTTCCACAAATTCTAGATAAATATATCAATAGAATATAGAATATTTCTTATATATTTTACGTTATATTTGTTTGATTCTGTCGGAGATAAAGATTATCTAAAGTACCTCCAAATAATTCCATACCAAGAATTGAATATGCATAATAAAAACTCTAATAGAAAATAACTATTGAAAATCTAGATTTAATTTGAAAATAATAAAACATACAAATAAAACTCCAAAAAAAGCGCCACCATTACGAATTTCATCAATAACTGTTCCAACAATAATTTGAATATTTTTTGATGCTGGTAAAAATCGAATTAATCGATAAATAAATAACATATTACATGCTTTTATGGCTTCCCATAATGTTAAAAAAGGAATTTGTTTTGGTGTTAAATCCAAATCACTAATCAAATAAGAATGTGGATATATAAATATTTTCTTTGTTTTTCCCTACCTTTCGGATATAACAGGTGATCCATCAATAGCCATATGTATTACTTGTAAAATCTATTTAAAAATTAAAATAATATTTTCTCCTATAGGATAAATCTTATTTAGTCTTACAAAACATGTTAAAGCTACACCTGCTTCTAATATATGTGCTGAAGATGAACGAAAATATTTATCCGGACCAAATGACCATGCTTTCATTATTATTTCTAATACAAAATAAATTGTAAAACTGAAATTAATGAATGCAATCAGTAATGTATGTTGAACTAATTCTTCATATTTGAAATGTAAATGACGATTACTAACTTCAATCTATTAAAAAATAAAATAAAATAATCATGTGAATGAAAAAGTTTAATTATTAACTGTAGTAAATAAAACACTTAATAGAGCGAGTAATGTACCAATAGTATCAAATATTTTTGAACGACCAACAGCTTTAAAACGATCAATTAAATTTTCTCCTAATGTCTTAATTTCAATTTCCTAAGATAAATAAAAGTTTTAGTTTTTATTTTTATTTTTTCTATTTTAATCTTACAGCTACTAATTTAGGATTTAAATCTAATAATTGCATTATTTTTGAATATTGATCGAAATCAATTGTATTGATTTCTGTTTCTAATTCATTCAATCTCTTAAAAATAGAATAATAATAAGGATTATTCAAATTAATTTTGATTTTGTCTAACTTGACTGATTCTATCACAATGCCATGTACTCATTGATGCAGATTGAACAATTGTTCTTACAATAGAAATTGGTACAGTATCCCTGTAATTAAGAAAAAAAAAGAAGATGTATAACTAATAAATTCTAATTATTCTTTTTTTGCACAATCCTATTGTAAAAACAAGTAATACCTAATCTCAATTGATCCTCCATTCGATGTTCGTCTTTTTAAAACTTCAAATGATGCTCTTATAGCTAAACGTCGTCGTAATTGTGAATTAATAATAGAATTTAAAAAATATCCTCGAAAAGCACGATAAACTACAGCAGTTATTATATTTTGTATCCAATAAATGCCTAAATTAAATGAATAAATAAAACAAATTTCAATTGGTTATTAATAAAAGTCTCGTACATGTTACCAATAATAACAAAAATAATAAAAAATAGAACATTCAATCGATTATCCGAATAAGCTATTCAAAAGACAAAACAATGAAAATTAAATAAAGAAAAAATCGTTCTTACCTGGTGTCATAACATCAGGATTATTAGCAGTAGAATATAATACAAGTAATTGAAAAACTGAATCATGTAGACTACCAAAATAAGTACTACCTTGACTATCTTTTCGAGTCTAGAGATATACAATCAGAAACTTTTGTAGAGTAAGAAAGAACAATACTTCTGATCGAGGAAAAAGAAACATAGCCATAATAGCAAAGAAAAGTATATGTGCAAGTGCCATTGCAATACAACTATTTAAAATAAAAATAAATAAATTTAAAATATTTCTTTTTTCGTTATATACGCAATAATAGTTAATAAATCTTTTTGTACAGCTTTCAACGCTTTCTTCATCAATTGAGATGATTCAATCATAAATAATGGACGAAGTATACGTCGAACACGAATCTAATTATTAATATATTTCCTTAATAAAAATTAGTGAATTTATCTTATACATACTCCTTGATATGTATAACTAATGAATGCAATCATAGCGAACCATTCACATAAGGAATAAATAGTTACAATGAGAAAAGCAATTAACCAAAAACGTTTTCGAGCATGTTTTATACCAAGACAAGAAATCTATTGATTCTTAACTATATGACAAAACAAATGAACAAGAAATGAATTTTCTTACTTTAGTACAAATATAAACAAAAAACCATATGAGTGTTAAACCCTCAATAATCATAAGTAATAAATATGGAAAAACTATTCGATCAGGTTTATCACGAACATCTGATGTTATACTAAATGATGATGGCCATTCAAATAAAGCCAAACAAAGATTAATTGTTAGAGCAATACGATGCATACTATGAGTAGTTTAATATTATTAGTATGGATTATCATTCAAATTGATTTTTTTATTACTTTCGAATTAGTGAACTAGAAAACCACCGATAAACTAATAAATAAAATTTTGTTACTTTATGTACTATTGATTGATAATTAACAGCATCTTCTAAGAATATAACGAATTATTTAACAATAATGTTGTCAGTTATTAAAAATCGAAATTTTTTTCGAATTATTTTTTGTCAATAGGAGCTTTATTATACTTTAGATTTTTTATATAATATTTGAATATTTTTAAGTTGCACATAGAAGTGTATTAGACGCTAAAATAATCAAATAAATATCGATCAAAAATATTTCATATACATTCTAACATACACCAGGAATACTGTTCATTATCAGTATTTTCTCTTTCTATTGGTTTCGGTATACCAATATAATTCCGAAGACGATCTTTTATTGGTAGAGATGTACTATATACTATATAATCACTTCCACTATCTGTAATTACAGATGAAATTGTTCGTCTTCTTGACATATCTATAAATAAGAATAATTTTTTGTTTGTTTTCTAATAATAATAGATGTATTTATATTCAAAAGTATATGAACAACAATAACAGAAAAAAAAGAAAAAGTGAAGAATTGCTTTCTACGTTGAGAACTGATTAACATTTTCTTGTGGTATTAGGATAATGTTGTACTAGATCTTCTTGAAATTGTTGGAAAAGTAATAATGATGTATCATCTTCAATTAATTTTGTAGATGGTAATTGTGATTTATCAAGAAAACCTAATCGATATACATAAACATTATTTAACACAGCATAATCATAACCCGCAATAAAACTTTCGCAACACTAAATGAACGGAAAAAAAATTTATATATGATAAAAAGACAAAAATAGTTTCTTTTATACTTGACTTATTCTTGCATGTCCATGTGCTTTAAAACGTGGATCATAGATAGGTACATCTTTTGGTCCGACATAATAAGGTTTCCATGGTTGAGAATAATGTGGTCGAAATATTGGAAGAATTTCATCGTTTCGTGTTTCTTGTTTCCATGCTTGATAATTTGTTAAAAATTGACAAGTTGTACAAATATCAGATTGAAATGGTTGAATTTGATTATCATTCCATAATAAAATTAATTCACGTTTATTTTGTGGTAATGGTATAGAACGTTTTATTGTATCAGTATGAATTTCAAATGCTGGAATAACATAAAGTGTACGTTTAAAATTTTCTTTATCGAAAGTTTTTTTCGTATAAAATGATATAAGATGATGAAATAAATCAGGTGATGGATATATATCAATATCAAGTGTAAGAATATATTCTATAGATGGAAGTATATCGCCAATACGTGCAATATTTCGTAGAAGATTTGATGGATATGGTGTGGAATCTTTATCATCAGTATGATTGACATAAGTTAATTGTTGACAACTAACAGCATATTTGACACTATGAGTATTATGTTGATTTGATATTGAACCTAAATTAATTTTTTTATGAAAATTTACTTTTCCAGCAAAAGGTTCTTTTATCTTACTTTTATAAGCTTTTGCTGATATAACAAGATGAACATTGAGTACTTTAAATGATCTTCGATTACATCGAAGCCATATAGATGCATAATCAATATCATCACTACCACGAGAACCTTTAACATATAAACTTAATGAAATAGGTCCATCCCAAACTTTTGCATGTTGTAATAATAAATGAAGTTGATCAATTTCAGTATGTAAATTTAATGCTATTAAATCAGAATTTTTTGTTAAATTTGTTTGATATTGTACAAAATTTTGTACTATTAAATAATTTCCTGATTCATCAAAACGTTTTTTCATTTCAATTGCTTTATAATATGGTCGTGTATCAAGATCATAATCAGGTTCATTCGTGTTTTCTTGAAGAAGTAATATACTTGAAAAAAGAACACCATTTATAAGTGTCATACAGAGGAAAGCAATAATAATAATAGAGAAAATTTTAATAATACGATTCCATTTGGTTCGTCTACTAAATGAAAGACTATATCGAAGAAAATATCGTTTTAAACGAAGAAAGCATATATTCAAATAAGACATATTTAAAGCTATAGATTAATAAGGTATTGTTATTGTTATTGTTGTTGTTGTTATTTATTTAAATGTTGATCGAATTAAACGTGCGTATGGTGTAAGTAATTGATTAAGACCAAAATCTGACCACTTATTCTGTGTTTCGTCAACGATCTCAGATAATAATGTTAAATCACCTTCAAATTCGTCTGGATTATATAATAAACTATGATTATGATTAGCACTTGCACCGTGATGATTTCCTCCTGTACTATCTGCACCACCAGTTCCACCACCAGTATGATTCGATACTCCGTGTGTTGAACTTCCACTACCTCCGGCACCAATACCAGCTGTACTTCGACCTCCTGAACCACCAGTTGCAACACCGGTACCACTTGTAGCTGCTGCTGCTGATGCAAGTAAATAATTTGCGTCTGAATTATCGTCTGGATTTCCTAGATGTGGTAATTCGTCAAGAATCCAATCACGATCAATTAATGCAAGTTGACGCCCATCGGGCAAATAAAGACCATCCATTGGATCATATATCTAAAAAATTGAAACTAACATGTTATTTTCTAATGCAATTCAAAAAAATATGTTGCAAAAAAAAATACTAATTATCTATCAAGAAGGTAAAAACAAACATGAAAATTAAATTGATTGATAAGAAGAAAAAGGATTAAAATTAAATAACAAGAAAAAGCTTTTTTTTTAGATACTAATATGACTAGGAACAAAAACTAAGATCAGGATCTAAATTAATGAGAAAAACATGCAATAGGAAACAAAATAACAACAAATTAGGATGATGCAGTTGTTTCTTTCGTACGTCGATCAACAGCAGCTACTAAAGCTGAACCTTTTGATGAACCATCTTCAGAAAGAACCAATCGATGCTTTTATTAAAAACAAAAGACATACAAATAAATTAAATAGAGTTTACTCAATTAAAACTTACCGTTCGTGGTACAAGTCGATTTAAAGTACGTGTTAGATTTTTTTTGAACTTTTCATGATGACGAAAAAGTGTACCATCTATACCTACTGTAACCGAAGGTTGATTGAGACGATTGATAAGAACAGCAATAGCTAAAATGAGATAAAAATGATTGTTTGCATGGTTGGTTGATTAATTCAATGACTTTTATGATTCTATAGACATGTAAAGCAGATTCGATATGTAACAGTGTATAATAAAAATAGTTTATCAAGTAATAATTCTAATATTAGAAATATTAATTCCGCCAAAAATAAAATCGAACGAACCCGACGTGCAGTGCAATTAGTACAAACATATCGTGTATCACGTCGATTATTATGCTATGTACGCAAACGATGTATTTTTTTAGAGACTGTTTTGATAATGATATTTGTGGAATAAGTGAAAGGAAAATCTCTTACAGATGGTCTTTTCTTGTCAAAACTTTTCTAATTATTTGAAACTAAAAATGAAATTGGTGAGAAGAAATATCATACATTTTGTAAATAAAAAATGTATCGTATACTGTCATATTCAAAAGAAAAAAAAATAAATAATATGTGATTGTATTCGAATGCATCAGAGAAAAAAGAAAATGTACGTCAGTATACAGAGTGAAGAAAAATAGACAGAATATAGATATGTGATACTGGCAAGGAGAAAGAAAAGAAAGAAAGGATTGCACTTGTGTAATATCACTTAATAAACGATAAAAAAACAATTAAAGAACATATTAGAGGCATCTTTGTAAAATAATGACCTTAACACGTATATAAATATCACTGGGATTCAAAGGGTTAAGAATACGATCTATTATCATACAGGTACAATTAATGTACTATTTCTTACCTGCTGCAGTTAGTTTTGCTGCTCGAAGTGAAACTGTTTTGCAAACTTCTCGAATAATATAACAATCATCATATGTTGGATTATGAATACCAATTGAAGTAAGAATTGACGAAGTTACTGATAAATCTTCGGCTATAAGAAAATTCTTTATAAATTTCATTCATCATTATTCAATTATTTACTTGTATCACATTCAATATCAGCAACATGTTTAGCATAAAAACTTCCTAAAAATATACATCATATTATTAAATATTTTTTCTCTATTAATTTACCTCGTAAAATAAGAAAAATATTATAATCTGATCGAAGACTTGGTGTTTTATGCATACGACCTGGCCAAAGAATTGAACGTTGTACTAATTCAATAATTATTAAACGAACAATTTCTCCAAGATAAAGAGCTAGAGAGAGAAAAAGAAACACATTAATTCTATTTTCTTTCAAATTTTTATTACCTGAAATCATTTTTTCAAATATTTGTTGTTGAGGTGTTGAACTTGATGAATCAAGTTCACGATCAATAGTCGTTCGAATAAAATCAAGACAGCCATTCTAAAAAAAATAATCTATTAATAAACATACTGTTAATTATATTAAATATATACTTTGCCAAGTGCACCCCATTCTGTATTAATAACAACTTGTTTTGCTGTTTGATTTTGCTCATCTTTCCATTTAAGTACATTATCAAGATTTTCAAAGTAACATGCATTTATTCCTAATAGACAAGATTTGATAAGAAAATTTTACAAATTTATTGGGATAATATCAAAATCTCGAAAACAAGAATAAAGAAAAAAAGAAATATCGAAAAGACGAAATCTCAAAAAATTGTATTTCCGAAAGAGGAAATCTCGAAAAAACTCGATAATCGAAAGAGAAAATTAGAGAAACTATCTTGAGGGTGTGAGTGTGGGTGTGGGTGAGAAAGATAAAATCACCCATGCCCACCCTTCGAAGTTAGCGTAAGAAAATATCATAGCAGAATGCTTCCCTACGCTTTATGATTATTTTCTAGCTTTTTCCAATTTCGAGGTTTTACATTTTCGAGATTTTGAAAGTAATCCAATTCATTTATTTATTTACCTGTGCCAAGAATAACACCAGCTTTACAATCACGATATATTGAATTACATGCCATTAATGTACCTACTGTATCATTAACTAAAGCTACAACTTGAACTTTTAAACCCTAAAATATTCGTTTTTTCTTGAGGGTGAATTATTTAATTTTTTGTTTACCTTGCGTCGATCAATTGCTTGTTGTAATAAAAGTACAACATCATTACCAACAACACCTGTACAACTAAAACCTTTGGTCCATGATACTAATGTTGCTTGACGTAAACTTGTTTGATTACATGGAAAACTGAATGTAAAAGCTAAGAAAAATAAAAATTCGATTAGAAAGACTACTCTAGTAAACATGACAATACAGAAAATGCTAAATAATAAGAAATTTTAGAGATGAGTTTGGAAATGCATGTCTCTGAATGATTCTCAAGAGATAGACGCGTAAATCACCATCTCGCATGACAATAACAATTCATACTTGCATCGTTACACATAACTAGAATCATATTTATTTGCAATATAAGAATTATTCTAGATTATTTTTTCTTCGAACTAATCGTAATAATTTTCTGAACTAGAATTTGCGGCTGATAGTAATGATATTTGACTAAAACTAAAGAAAGATCTATAAATAGATTATTTCATCGAGACAATATAATATAATCAAAAGAACAACATATTTTCATTTCTGTCATTATGTGTCTCATAGATATTTGCTTTACTATCACTTTTGATAAAGAAATAATTACGTTACCTAAATCAAATTTATAATCCGATGATTTCGATAAAGCTAATTTATTATCATCAATAAATCTTTGTAAACATTCAGCAATATAATCAAATAATTTTTCACCTTCACCTAATAATAATGAATGTGGTATGAGAAATATTTTATTATTCAAACGTAAACGATTTCGTCCTTCAATAATCACATGTGAAACACGAAAATTCGAACCACCTAAATCAACAACTAAATATTCTCCTGTTTCTTGACCATTTGGTCCATAATGAACATATGTTGGAAACATTGCTAAATCATTTTTATCAGTATGATCATTTGATTTTAAACCATTTGTCATTTCTGTATTTAAATTAGCCATAACACGACGAAGTTGGTCTTCTGATAATTGAAATGGTTCAAGAATATTTTTAACTTCATCTCGTAATATAACACGTTTTGTACGTTGAGTATGTTGATGAATATAATAAGCACCAAGACCAATAGCTGTTAAAACACCTGCAGTTATTCCTGCAATTTTCAATGTTTTTAATACATCAATTCGTACTTCAATAATATAATCTGATGAAGACGTCATCTGAAACATTGAATATTTTTTTATATGAGTATGATAAATAATTAAATATCTTATTATTAGTATATTCCCGAAAAAGAACGCAAAACGCTTCATGTGCAGAGAAAAATTCATTAAATATGATGTGCAGATTATATATATCACAAAATTTGTCCTAGAGATTCTTTTAATTCAGTTTTTTTAAACTTCTTCCATTTGTAAACCAAATGCATCTTGATTTGGTGTTTGATGAAAAATTGCATGAAGAGCGATAATAAATACCGATGCACCTATATATAGAAAAATGAATGAACGATTTAATTTTATTCGTTTTCAATTCAATTACCTAGAATCCAAAATATAGCTGAACCAGCTCCAACCATAATCAATAATGGAACACAAAGACAAAGTACAGCTATATATTGTTGTGTCAAAGGAATTTGACGACCTGAATAGAAAAGAATTTATATAAGCCTATTTATGAATTAAATACAATCATATACCCATAATAACGATTTGTTTCTCTCGATTTTTTATATTAACTAAATAACATCCAGCAGCCATTGCTATTAAAATAAAAAGTAAGGATGGTGTTGTAATCCTAATATCATAAAAAGACATAATTTTTTTCTTAAAAGAATTACATGATACTTACACGCAATAAATTGATAAGATAACAATAACAAAAAAATAATTGGTTTGAAAATGTTCAATATTCGAAATAAATCGTCTCATTGCTTAGAAATATATTAAAATAGTTTACTATATATATTTTTAAATAATCTATAAACCTGTTTGAACATTTGCTGGTGGTTTAAATTTAGTTGTATTAAAAAATTCAAACCATGGGCGTAAACTTTGTCGTTGTCGAGTATATAATTCTTGAACATTAATTTTTTGTAAACTGGACAATGACCAATTTGTACTAAAAAGATAAAAATATAGAAAGATAATAATTAAAAATAATACTATGCAAATTACAAAGCATTATCATTTGATACTTCAGCCATTTATTTCAAATTGTAAGAGAGTAATCTGATTTTGTATTTAAAAAAAAAGAAAGCACTGAAATAAATAAAGCAACGGTTGTGAACCAACCAATCCCAAATCCAATACAGATGGCATTAGTTAAAACTTTACGATATACTGAAGATGCTTGATTTAGATTATTCATTTTATAATTTACAACATAAAAATGTACGATAAGAAATTTATGTCTGATTATATGTAATTGATCCAATGTTGGTATTGTTATACAACACTATATTGATGACATCATTTTGATATGCAGGTATTCTTTTTATTAGAAACATAATAAGTAATCGATGTTAACCGTTATACTCACTAAACAGCATTCAATGAGACTAGAAACAGTGTATCGGTCAAGACTATTGATCTGTCAGGTTTATTTAGTGGTTTGTCATACTATAGTCTATGGTTCTACTATTGAGCGTCAAATTATCATAGATTCCTATCTTCAAGCACCATATGCCTAAATCTATCAACATTATTCTTTCAAAATATCCTAGACAATTGCTTGATAAAATCCCCTGAATTTTCCGTATTAACTTATAGTGGATTCTGACAATCTTACATCGATTTCTATACATTCACACAAAATTGTACCTTTTTTTTCTTGTATTTTTCAGTCAAAGGTACATTCGACATATTGTTTTAATTTATATGAAATAACATGTTATGACAATAAAATATGACGTTTAAAATATTTAAATTACTGATATATCATAAGCGTAGAGAGATCGCTATAGATAAAAAATAATAAGTTATAATCGTAAGCATTGCTAACATTTTCGATTTCTCGTGACTTGCTTTCATAGAGCGACATATCGTAACAGATGGCGCTGTCTGAAATCCACATGATTTAGCTAAATTTACCAATGATTTTGCAGATTTTTGCATAGAATCAATGAGTTCTTTTTTTTTATTTCACTTACATCATTCTATGAATTCATACACATTATATTTGTCAATAGTTAATTCATGAATGGACTTTATTTTTTTTGTTTCTGTAATCGTCAGCTGCTTTTAATGACTCATTGACTGACAGATAGTTCGCGTGTGTGTGTTTGTTAATAGTTTTCAAACCATTTCGTCTTTCATTTTCATACATCATAGATGTATTTATGTCCTTACCAACACATCTGACCAGTAATGCTTCTCAATTGCCTTTTTTCTGTTCATCAAATTCACTTGTATTCTATCTCGGTAAAATAAATTTTTTTTTCTTAATATTATATTTTTTTATCACACTATTTATCACAGATGATCCCACTACATTCTCCCAGGTGTTAACACTTTATAATCCATACGACTTTGCTGTTCGTTATAAGGGTAAA